AAATAAAACTTCATTGAGAAAAATAAATCAGACTGTACCTACTCCCTAAAATGAATGTAAATATCATGTATTGCAAACATGTACTAAGAGAAACATTTTCTTAAATGCCATAGTTAAAGGACAAAACAAACCCAGTCTGTATGGGATGGCATTTGGCCTGTGAGCATTATCCACTGACTCTGGGAGCTAACCACTACGTGTACCAGGTCCTCATGCACTAGGTCTTACTAGGGATCCTTCATCTTGCCATAGCATCCTTTTATTTGTTGAGTAACTTGGGCAGTCACAAACTCTTTCAGGGCAAAAAGGCACTATTTGTGTACTATGGGAGCAGTAGTAAGTTCAATAGTGCTTCATGCCCCAGACAAAACATTTTAGTATATCCTTTCCAGTGCTAAAGGTCAACAGAGGATGAGATCCGTTGGGAGGAGTAGCATTGTCCAATTGTTTCAATGTGGGAAGTGATTAGTTTTCATTAGGAATTTATGCCCCAATCATGACAAAGTCAGAGAGCAACTGGACAATACACAGGTCAAACTCAGGCTCAGTACAAATGCAGTAGGGATAAATGGGATACATTGGACTTTGTACAAATGGGATACAAGAGAGAAATGGGAGACAGGCGGACTATCTTTCCAACCCCAGGGGGAGGGAGCTGGCTTTATTTCTAGTCCATGCTGAAATGTCCATTCAGTAGCTTGTGATCAAAATACAGGGAAGCCAGACTGTGGTGAAATTTAGTGAATTAATTTGACCCTGAGCTTCAGCTTAAAACCTGATGAAAAATGCTGAATTCAGAATACTTAAGGAAAATCTTTCAACTGCTACCTGGAAAATCTGGGGAAAGGACAGCACATTTTCTCAAAATGTCTCTCAAACAGCATAGCTATGAGTTTGAAGGTAGACTCTAGAGCTAGCAAGGCTCCTCCAGGAGAGGGAGGTAAGTAAGATGGGCCCAACGAGGTCACCATGGCCTGGGATGGACCAGCCACCCCGCAGAGTGGTGGAATGATGTCACTGTGCGAATGAACCTTTTGTTTTTCTGTTAGTTAATTCTCAAGAAGTTTTACAAAATGACAATAATCAGGGAGGTTTGTGTAGCTATTTCTAGCTTTGGGTACCAGGACAGATACGATAGAGAGGATTGTACTACAGTGATAAGTTTGCCCTAAAAGCAGGAGGCAGGGGGAAATGTAATGTAAAGAAAAAAATCACAAGTCCTGAATCCACCAGGAGTTCTCCTGTAATACCCTTCTTAGGTCTCTTAGTCTCTCTTAGCCTCAAATCACTTATCTCTAAAATGGGAATAATTCCAACCTCAGAGTGCTGCAAGTATCAGATGAGACAAATGTGACATTGTGACAGTGAGTTGCAAACCCAGAAGGGCTACACAAACACAAGCTATAGTAATAAAGCTAATTATAATTGGATGTTAATTATGAGCCAGGCCAGGTACTAAGTGCTTTACATGCCTTGATTCAAGGGCATAGTTTTGGGCTGCACCTATGAACATTACATTCAATAACATAAGGTCCCTTTTGTTATGAATGTAATTGATTAAATTAAGGGGACTAGAGGTGTGGGGCTTATGTCGCATTATCTGCAGGGCTCAAAATCTAATCAACAGGGTCCTTAAAAGAGGGAGCAGGAGATCACAAGAGGTCGGAGTGACCCAAGGAAGGGCCACAGTTCAAGGGACGAGGGTGACCTCTAGAAGCTGCAAAATGCCAGTGAACAAATTCTCCTCCCTGAAGTCTCCAAAGAAACATAGCTCCATGAATCCAATTTGAACTCATGACCTTCAGGGTGTAACAGAATAAAATTAAGCCACTAAATTCATGGTCATCTGTTATAGCGGCCACAGGAAAGTAATACAGACCTCATTAATGGAGTTGGGTTTGCTTGCTTAAATTCAAGTCTTGGCATTATTATTTGCTTCGTCCATGCATTGCATATGATAACAAAAGTCTCCATCTCATTGAGTGGTAGAGAAATTAAATGGAATGGTACACTGTAGCATCCTCAGCCCAAAGTCTGTCTGGCATACAAAAAGCGCTCAGTTAACATTGGCAATTATTAGTATCATCTCATTTAATGACCACTAAAGTTCTATGAGATCAGTGCTGTTTTTCTCTCTGTGTTACAAAGGAGGAAACTTAATTGTATTTTTAAAAGTTACCCATGGCAACAGAGGAAGGTAAGTGGCAGAACCAGATTCGATACCAAGTCTCTGCCACAGTTGCCCATTCTGATCAGCTCTGTCTCAAGGACATAACACCCATTGCACCATTGAATGTCAGCTGCTTAGACAGGACACAAGAACCAGACAGGCCACAGCGCTCTCTGCACTGGCAGAAGCTGGCAAGACTAGATGTCCAATAAATCTGTGTTTCTCAGGGAAACAGGAAACGCAGCTGCAGAGAGGCCAGTGTCTAAGAGGTTAGCAGCCCTCTGACATCCCTGGGCTGGCCAGCACCCAGCCGCAAATCAGCAAAGTCTGAATACTGTGTTTAGTCATTTGGGTTCTGGAATAATTGCTATTATCGTAAATGTTTTATAGCTCTCATTATGGCTCACATTTAAATATCAGTGTAGTAATACATTAATAAGTCATCACTGCCGGACCGCTGCCGGATGCAGTTCCAGATGAAGCCCTGCGTATAACTGTGCTGTATGCTCAGCTAAACGAGGGTGGGCTGAGGCCTCCGTGCAATTGTGGGTGCTTGGGCAGGGTCAAAAAGAAGCGCCTTCTCTGCACAAGCTTCTTGCCGTCTGCCTTTCAGAGATAAGGAGGATACTTAGTTTTCTGTCTGGGAGTCAGTCAACCACCCTAACTAGGTGTCCCCCAGTTATGGAGTCTCGATCTCTGAGGTGGATGATGTCCGAAAGCATTATTTCTGTCCTAGAGGCCTTCCTAGGCCAGTGGAGAAGGACAGCCTGATCTGATGGGAGCAACAAACTGCTCAGGATTATCTGATGAGATACTCCGAAGGCATTGTGGGTGGACAAAGACGGGATGGATACTCCCCACAGAGAGAGATGACATCTACAGAACTTCAAAATCAGCTTCATAAAAGGCCAAGCTTCTGTATGGGTGCAGTAGTAAAGTTACAGGCCAGGCAGAGACAAGCAGTGTAAATTGGGTTCGTTCTTCCACTTCGCTTTCCTTTGGGGCTCGCCTAGTGCCAGACACATGAAAAGTGCACGAGTGTAGAAAGGAGGGAGGGATCTGAGCTGGGTTCTGTACCTCTGTGTAAGCAAACTCCCTCTGGCCTTCCTAGCGAAACAAATAATGAATAGGCTGGCAGGGTTGAGGCATAGTCTGGACTGGGGAGATAGGATCACAGAATCCTTCAGATTAGGGTCTCAAGGGGTCGGAGAGAGAACCTGTGCAGAGCCGTCGGTTGGGGTGGGTACAGGAGTTACTGTGGGCTGAATAAAGTGGTTTCTCTTTTCATGAGGATGGGCTGAGGACATAAAAATGGCTAGGACTGGAGTCAATTCCACTCTCAGTAAGACAGTGGCGTCTGTGTACCAGCCCGTGAGGTAGGTACCACTATCTGCTCCTTCCACAGATAGCAAATCTGTGGATAAGAGATGTCAGTAACTTGCCCAAGACTGCATGACAAGGAACTAGGAAGGCTCAACTTGAACCATGTATGGACCAGATCATGGGGCTATGGTAATGCGCAAGGTAGAAAATGTCCTTGCCTTTGCAGAGCTCGTATTATAGAGGCCACTTAAGAGGCAGATGGTATATTTAGTAAGGGCCCAGGACTGAAGAAGTCTACTTAACCAATGAAAGCTTCCCAAGAAGGACTCCTTCCTGAGTCACTGGGGACCACAGGCAGCTCAGGATAGGTGAGGTTTGTTGGACTGGCAAGAAACATATCTCTGATGTGGCCCTGAGAGGAGCAGAGAAATTGAGGACCAATGAGCAAGAAGCCAACATGAAGCATTGCACCACGGGCTGTATCCAACTCTTGCTCTTTTGGATACATAATGAGACAGGTGTGGGTCAGAGAGCTGCAAACCAGGCCAGACTTCCCATGAGTTGTCACCGCTCCATCCCAGAGTCATGGAATCTTCTGACCCACAAAGGCCCTCCCACTGCATAGTGCCGCAGGCCTCCGCAGATGGCTTCCTTAGCTTCCATACTGCTCCCTCTAGAAGGATAAGCCTGGGAAGTGCTGGGCTGGGGAGATAGGATCACTAGAATCCTTCTATAGCTTTGGTCATCCATCAGCAGCCCTATTTCACTCCACCCATTCCTAGAGCTCACGTCTTTGTCTCTGCTTTTCCTCGTACAACAGTGCCAGTCAGTATCAGCATTGCCTTAGGAGCTGTGTGCACGGTCATGAGCTGCACAGGAAGGAGGAGTCTTATCTCTTTTCCTGGAGTTTCCATGCTCATTTGAAATAAGGCATGTTTGAAGGGTCAGAATATGTTTGGAAACTACAGAATAACTTTGGTGGAGCGTCAGGCATGAGGCAACATGCACCACGGACGAAGCAAGAAGGGAGTGATAGAAAGCTAGATTCAGAGCTGCTGTGCAGAGCTCAGCTGCTGTGGTCCTTGGGAAAATCACTGTGCTACTCCGTAGCTCCGCCACTTCTTCTGTGGCACAAGCATAATGTTTACTTTGGGGGGTTGTACGTTACTAACCAAAATGTCATAAGTCTGTTTTTTTTCTCTCTCTAAAAGAGGATAATAACATGTAACTGGCATTGTCATTATAAGAATTAGCGTTTTTATAATGAAACATTGAGCACATAGTGGAATTTCAGGGAGGGAAATTATCACTCTGGGTGGGTAAACAAGAACTAGGAGAGCAGCAGAGAGGAAGTGATTCTGTCATCATTTGGAGACCTATTCACTGACTTGTTCATGGCTATTGACTTAGGGTCCCTTTGCAGTCCCATCCCTGCCCCGCCTTCTGTGATCATCTTGGTCCCTCAGCCTGCTCACCTATTGACCATTTCCTTCTCTTCTTTCCACAGCACACTCAACAACAACAACATTAGCCGCATCCTGGTCACCAGCTTCAACCACATGCCGAAGATCCGGACTCTGTGAGTAACATACCCAGTTCCTCCCTGCCTTGCCTGACCTTAGGTAGCTCAAAGTGCAGGACTCTACACTGCTCTCAAACCTACCGTGCTACTACTGGGCAAATGGTCCCTGCGCTCAAAGTTCCAGTTCTGCTGTTAACTATAGGGGGAATCGCCGAGTGCCAGCTGATTCAGGGGAAGTTCGCTGTGCTGCCGTCCGTGGTTCTCAAGCACTGTTCTGTACCAGGAAGACTCAGTGCTCTTCCCCCTGGGACTGTGAGAATCCTGCTTGTCTTATTTACTGCATTTTCCACTTCAATAGGAAAATTGGTTAGGACATACAGAACTGTAACTTAAGGATGCACCATTGACTTAGGTCATGTCGCAGTGGCAGTTCTGTCATAATGCCAGTGGTTGCAGTTGTTTGCTGCTCTAGGACTGCTGGACAGAGGGGATCCTTGCTCCTTCTCTCTGTCCCACCATGGCCCCGCACACTACATTCCCTAGCTCACCTGCTCCCTGGACAATTATTCTGATATTAGAGTGTGAAAACTTGACTCTATATCTTTATGAGTGTCTCCATGTGCTTAAGCCCTCCAGGATGCCTAGAACTTAGAATGTTTCTGGTACTCTTGTGACATGGGGAACCCCCCTCCACTCTCATCAGACACCCCTGTGTGGATTTCTCTACAGACAGACTTGCTTGCCTTTTCCCAACGGCTCATGCTTGACAGGTGTCCTGTGCCACTAGCGGCATGTGCTTCGTAGTCACAGGAAAGATCAAACTCCTGATAACTTTCAGCCAAACACTTCTGGAGCTCAGGTGCAGAGTGAGAATCCTGCTAGGCCCTTTATTAACTCTGTGACCTCCATCTCCCTCCTCTACAAATAGGGATTGTACAAGGATCAGATGAAATTAGATTTGTACAGTATCTGGCATGTGGTAGATAATGAATGATATTGATTATAACATTATTATCATCACACTGTTCGTATAAAACCTAAAGTGAACATTTCAAGCAACCAGCTTTCCTATGCTCATCAAGCAACATGGGATCCTTGAGATTTGAAAATCCTTAGTCCAGTGGTTCCCAGAGTTGGGTCTCTTAGACCGGCAACATCAGAATCACCTGGAACTTGTTACAAAAGCAAATCCCTGGAGCCCCACCCCAACCCGTGGAGTCAGGATCATGAGCTTTCACCTGAGTCTACTTTCAGCAAGCCCTCCGGAGCTCTATGTGCTGATATATTTTGAGAGCCACTGCACTTATGAAAAAGTGACTTTATCTCCAGGAAACAAAGGAAATGACAGTGAAACAAAGACCAATGAAGCAGTTTATAAGGAGGCAATGCAGGGCACCATGAGAAGGACAGAACTTAGAGTCGGGTAGACCTGAGTTTAAATGTGAGCTCTGCCACTTACTTTGGGCATATTTCTTCACCTTTTAGTCATGCAAAGTGAGAGCATAAATGCTTACCTCATAGTCATTGAGAATGAAATGTGCTTTAACATGTTAAGTGCCTAGGACATGGTGCACACACAACAAATACTAGTTATTATACAGAGTAATAATAATTCAAGCCAAGCTTCCATGCTCACTCCCAGATTTTCCCCCAGATCCCTCCAGCGTTAGCACACCTCAGCCAGGAGAATCTGTCCTTTTCCCTCTCTCTTAAAATGGCATGGTGCATTACTAGAATTTTAAGGAGAAGCCATTTGGTCTTCAAAGACTTCTTCAAAGTCCCCAGCAAACCACAATTCAGCTGGGGAAGTGTGTAGCCCAGGGCTCCCAGGCAAGAAGCCAAAAGTGAGTCTCGGGATGCAGGGCCTGCATCAGTCCAGACAAACGGGTACACAGAAGAAAAATGGTTCTCATCTGCACAGAGCAGTGTCCCAGCTTCTTGGGCTCTTCCTCTGCGTTTTGTACATCCTGTCTTCCTCACTTTCAGTTTAGGAAGAACAATAACAGAAGCAAGGCTGGGTTCCTAGGAGTGGGAAGGAAATGCTTAGGCTTGGATCTCAGGTGCTTTGTTTGGGGTACACTGGGGTGGGAGACGAGGACAAGAGGGTTTTATCTCCTTGTTTCTGTTGTCATTCTTCTCTGCAGTCCTGAGTATTCATCTGATGAGTTCAGATCAATCAGTCAATCTCATCTGCTCTCTTTGCTCTCTGCCTACTGCCATTTTCTCTTTAGTTTAATTTCAGAGATGGCTCTGTATGGAACTCCCTGGAGATGAGCTGACTAATCCCCCTTCACTGTAATTAAACTGTTGGGGGGGCTTTGGTGGTAGTGGTGAAGGAGGGAGAAGGAGAGGGGAAGGAAGTCGTAAATGGGATTTCCAAAGGAAAGCTTTTATATTGAATTCAGAAAGTCACATTTTATAGAAAATGAACAGTGACCCTCTCTAAAAGGGTTTACTGGAAATTTAATTTAGCATCTGTGACTAAAAGGCACCTTTGGTAAATTGGCATTTATATTCATTCACCTTATGTTCTGTAAAGGTGGTTTCATCAACATGGAATATAATGTGTCCATCAACAAAAGGTTGCAGAACAATATGCAGGAACCTCCTAGCACCTTGATGCTTGGGGTCTAAGTAAGAAACTATAGACTTGTATGGGCAGGTCCAGGGGTTGGACTAGTCTCCTCTGAATCATAAGAATAACAAACATTTCTTCAGTGGTTCATTGCATGCCAGGCCTGGCGCTAAGCACTTCTCAAGAATTGTTTCAATCCTCACAGTGCCCTTAAGAAGCAGCACCATTCTCCTCCCCATTTTACCGATGATAACCCTAAGAGCCAGAGCTAAGTCACCACCAAAAGTCAAAGTCAAAAAGCACAGAGCCCATGTTAGACATGGGAAGTTTGACATCCATACCTGAATTCCTACCACTCAGAAGGAACGGAAGCAGAAGAACATGTGCTGAGTGTGCAGGGGAAGGGGAGACCAGGGCTTTCACCTGGCCCAAGAGCCAATGACCCAACTTTTGACAAGAAGCTTTGAGTGTCTTCCACATTGTTTGGATCACGTCTTTTCTGCAGCCCTACCTGGGAGAGGAGCAATTCCTAGGATGATGGGCAAAAGAATAGGAGTATCTGTAACAAGGTTAAGAAGAGATATAGCATATTGCTGGCCTGCCAGGACTGAGAAAGAACCAACCTAGCATAATCTTCCAGAAGGGAGAGCACTGATGTTTTAGTTATCCCAGAAATAAATCAACCCAGTAAGGACCTGACTCATCTAGACCTCATCTTGCTGTTCCCTTGCTCCCTTGCCCTCTGTCAAAGCTGACAAGAATTTGTTTGCATTGATCATCCTCAGGGACCCATGCTCACTGCCTCAGAGTGAAACCCCCTGGTCTTATCATCCCTACCTCACTGCCAGATAGGGAAACTGCCTTTTCACATAAAAGCCAAGCTAAGCAAATGGCTCTGATTCTCAGGGCACATGGGAGAATTGCTGCACCTCAGTCTTCACTGCCACTGCCACCTGCTTTGTGTTCCACCTGTCCCACAGCCGACCCACTGCAGCATGTATACCCAGGAGAGTTTATTGCCCATAGTATTCTCTCCTCTCCATTTGGCTCTATAGGAAACAGTAAGGCACCACCTGAAAATGCACCGCCAGTCTTTCCCTTTGCTCTTGACACAAAGTGATCCTACTGAGTGACTAACCAGAGGGTTTGCTTTACTCCTCAAACTGAGGTCCTTCCCACCTGCTTAGGCGTGGAGCTCTCCCTGTCCCCTTCCCAACAGTCACACCTGTGTTCAGAATGCGGGCTAAGAGGAAGCCCTGCTTGCTTCAGCTCAGGGGATCTGATCTTTGAAACGGAAAAGGAAAAATGTCTTGGAACCCATGTAGTCACTGTATCCAGGTCCTAGAAGCTTCTGGAAGTGCACTCATATTACTTTGAAATCCAAAAAGAAAATTGTATCAAAATTAACAGTTTTTAAAGCAAAATCATACCCAAAAAAGTACATTTCATATGAGATACAGCTTCATCTAATATCTGAAATAATGAGATCTGGGGCAGCCAAGGCCCCCATTGGCCCTGGCCTGCTGGAGCATTGTGCCCTTACCGCCGCAGGGAGGCCCGGCCAGCATGCAGCTGGGTTAGTTGTACTTGGCTCGTGTGTGGCAGTGTTGACCTTATGCTGAGCAGAACGTGGTCAAGAGCCCTTCAGCTCTCCCATTATAGGCACCCAAGCCACTGCTTCAGGCTGCCACTCAGTATTAACAGGCTTGACACGGAGCACTTGAAAGTCCCAAGATAACTCTAGCTGATTAGCATGTCTAGGATGAGGCATCTGAAATTTGCATCAGAGACCCAAGCCTGCTGCTACTAAAACTCACCCACCACCACTTCTCATGACCTAGGGCTGTAGGGAATTTGGAAGTTGGAAACCCCTGATTGAAAGTCCTGAGGAAAAATATTTAGAACCCCTGAATATTCTTAGCCACTCATGGAAAGGAAGCTCAAGTCATTTAATCACAAGGGATTCCCCTTCAGAAGTGGAACAGGCAGATCCTTCCAAGGAACCTTATTCACTCAAAGGCAAGAAATTGATCTGTAATCACAGCTCCCAGGGGAGGAAAGCTAAAGAGTCCTGGAACTGGTTGGGAAATCCTTTCAGAGACACTTAAATCAGCCAAAATGGCAAATACACCAGGTGGAATTAAACTGCGCAATGATAGGGAGGTGCTAGGAAGAGACTGCTATGGATTTCAATACCTTAGGAGGGCAGAGAGAAGGTATATGCTTCAGGAAGTGCCCCTGCCTTTGTGCCCTACTCACGCTGTCCAGTGTGCACAAGAGGTATTGATTTTAGGCCCAACAACATTTCCTGCAGTGGGCTTCTGAAGGACATTAGGGAGGGAGGGAAGGAAGGAGAACCAACAGGTAAATCCGCAGCGCCACAACATAGAAGGTTTTGAGGTCGAGAACCATGTTTCAAGGTATCTGTAACTCTGCTAGCTAAAATATTAAAATACGCAAAGAATGACCCCTTTGTAAGTTTGACTCAGTGGGGATGGTACAGTACTGGCACTCTCCCCCTCTTCTATGTCCCTGCATGGGAAAGAAAAGAGTGGAATTATTAAGAAGCGGGAATTGCTCAAAACCCCAAGGGCATCCATTGGATGTGGCCTACACATGCAGATAATTTGTGGCTTGGCAATGAAAGGGCTGAGGCTTCTGTTTTCAGGAGCACAGAGGAAAATGTTTGCCCGGGCTCTTGAGAATTATCACACTGCAGGAGGGGGCAACAGAGGTGTGGCCCACTGCGTTCAGCCAAGCGCAGCCTCCTCCCTGCACTCTGTAACAGCACCTTCCCTCTCTTCTTCTCCTAGGCGCCTCCACTCCAATCACCTGTACTGTGACTGCCACCTGGCCTGGCTCTCAGACTGGCTGCGACAGAGAAGGACAATCGGCCAGTTCACACTCTGCATGGCTCCTGTGCACCTAAGGGGCTTCAATGTGGCGGACGTGCAGAAGAAAGAGTATGTGTGTCCAGGTGAGGCTGCTCCACATTCCCTCCCTTCCTGGGTTATGCCTCAGCCACCCACAAGCTCTTCCCACTGTGACCATGGCCTTGAACACATATCCCAACCCAGATTAGGTATAAAGAACCCCATAGGGGGGCTGGGGATTTAGCTCAGCGGCAAAGCGCCTGCCTGGCAAGCACAAGGTCGTGAGTTCAGTTCCCGGTACCGGAGAAAAACCAAAACCAAAAAAAAAAAAAAAAACCACACAAAGAACCCTATAGGTTGTTTCAAGTACATTGCTGTCACTTGAAGGACTCTGGAGTCCTCAAGGGGTTCAAAGAAAGAAGGCTTTGATGATTGGTAATGGAAAATGCTAAAGGCACTCCCAAATCACTTTCTGGTAAGCCCCACAGGCCAGGGGTGCTAGGAAACCTAGCATTTGCTGAGCCACGTGGCATAGGGAAATGGGTTTAATGGAGGTGTTTTAGTATTTGCTACACATGCTTCTATCATCCAAATGCTTGCAAAAACTGAGAGACAGGATAATGTAGGCTGCAGAGTCAGCCTGCCTGGCTGGAAATCCAAACTCTGCCCCGTCCTAGTATGTGACTTTGGCAAGTTACCATTCATCTGCAAAATGGAGATAATAATAGCACATAACTCAAAGGATGGGTGGTAGGGTTAAGAGAAATAATGCAATAAAGCACTTAGCATCATACACAGCACTTGGTTATAGCTAAATAAGTGGAGCTTAATTATTAGAATTTAGGAGGCCCACAAAATGTGCTAAGCAAACATAAGAGTTTGATCTGTGGGTAATTAAAGTGTAATAGTGGCACAGATTGCCTCTGCATCACACACAACAGAGCTGTGCAGATGCATAGCTGAAGGTAGCTCGGCTCTCCAGGGATGGGACGTGCCGGAGTAACCACAGATCTTCGCAAAGAGTATTGCTTTTCAACCAGGTCCTAAATCTTGCTAGTTTGCTTGCTTTTTACTTTTCTTTGACATCTTCTACTTTTTCCTGTCCTGGTGGCGAAGAAGTAAAACTGATCCTTTGTTTTCTTTTTCAAAAAGACAATATTGCATTGGGGAGTTTCGCAAAAGGGTGTACAGATTTCTAACAACCCAGTGGTCCCGCAGGCTGAGCTGGGTAAGCTTGGTGGGCCAGAGGGAGCAAGAACCACAGGGGGTTGAGCTTACATGCTTCTGCACTCTTCTCAACTCTGGTGACTTTTAATCCTGAGAGCTTACTGAGCCCAGCCTGTGCTCCTGGCCCCAGTATGGCCCAGAGTGCAAATTGGCCCTCTCCTGCTCTTAGGCTGCGTTTGTACAATGCAAGAATCACGTTGAATTTGATTTCATCTCACTCTATGCTGCAACCTTCCCACCTTACTTCAACATGTTATGTGTTCTCCAAAAACATTTTTAACCTGTCTCAGAGCAGTACCTCAATAGCTTCCTCTAGACACCCACTTAGAAATCACTTCCCATCACACACGTGTAATAAAACCGTTTATCACATAGCCACCAAATTCAAATATAGTGACTATAATTGGTGTAATTATTAGGCAAAGGGTGAAATATCGGCATAAGTGCCAGGGAAAGAAATAATTATAGAGTGCAGGAGTCATCGAAGAGCTAGTGAGAAAAGCTAATTAGAGAGAATGTTAAAACACATCATTATAGGTTGGCGCTGAGTATAATGCAGCGCTCGACCATGAATGCCACTTTGTCCTGCGAGTATCTTCCTGTCCAGAGTGGAGAGACACTGTTTACCCAACAACAGTTAAGATCCCAAACCCATGGGAGTGAGGGCTGTCCTTTCTAAGTCCTGCAGATGCTGATGCCTCAGATTTCCCTCCTTAGACAAAGCTAGATCTAATGGGTGGATCTTGTTAGTTATACAGGAACATCCTTAATACCTTCCCTGTTTACAGCAGTCAAGCCCATTCCTTATGATGGTCCCTGTAGCCTCTACTGTGAAGCCAGGTGTCTTTTGAGGACATGACAACTTCAGTTCCAAACATCAGTATGCTCATTAACTCTACTCTCTCACCTATACTATGAATTTAGGGCAGCGGCATATGGGAACCCCTGTGCTGAGGAATTCTTTAAATGCTTTACCCAACACCCATAGATTAAAAGCTAGATGCTGTGAGGGGTTCATTTAGAAAAGTTCAGAGTCAGTTATAACGGTCTAGAGAAAGTAGTGCATTGAGTATCCATGATGTGGAACTACCACCATGATTAGCAGGGGGTGGGAAGGGCAAAACCCACGAAAAGTGCTGCCTCCTCCATACCTGTTAAAGGTAGTCTGCCGGAGGAAATGGTGTGGGGCAAGGTTCCATCTGGGCAGTCAGGCTGTGAGGCTGAGGCCCTGAGAAGGAGATCAAGGAGAAGGAAGTGCCTCCCATGGGTGCTGACCACGCCATACACCATGGAGGGTGCCGGCCAGGGCTCAGGAAGTGCTCCGACGGATGCTGTTTGGTTTGGACCTGGCAGTTGTTGTTTAAAGCTGCCAAACAAATGCACTCCATTCCAGCCATTTCCCTAGCAGTTCACCTAGAGTCGGACTTCAGTCAAGAAACAGAGAGACAGGAACTTCTCTTAAAATCTAGAGGTCATCTGCTCAGGAGAAGGAGGCATGGGGCCCCAATTAAGCCATCCCTGCCTGTGGCATTATTAGCAGTGGTCTCCATGAACTGGCACGAGCAAAGCTCCCCGGGCCCTTTAGTGATATCAAAAAATTCACCAAACACAGGACTCCAGAGACAGGAAGGAGCTTTATCTCACTCAGCCTGGGAGGGCTCTGCCTGCCCAAGTTCCTGATATCTCCCTTTGAATTAAATCCAGCCGTCTGGAGCCTGGCCATTTCTCCACAGAAGTCCCGGAGATGAGTTCCTTATCACTTCCGCTAACCCCAAATTTGCTAGCAGCACACTTCGGCAAAATTCATCTCTGTCAACTCTACCCTTCCAGTCAAAGATATTTATTTTCTTTCCCTGAGAAGGCGTACGGAATTTTTCACCAAGGTGCAAGAATATACCTTTAGTTTATTTTTTGGTTAACATATTTCTGTTATGTAACCTGCCTACTTGGTGAATGCTGAAAGGGTTTCTCTGTTCGTTTCTCTTGTTTGGAGAGGAAGACTGGAGCCTGAATGTCACAAGAAGCCACAGGCCATGCTTCCTTCTTCTTGTTTGGCCCAGGCCAGAACTTTGTCAAAGTCCGTAATAACACACCAGAGAAAAAGTTCACATTACCTGAGTTGCAAGTTGTTTCCTTTTTTCATCAAAAGGGATTTCTTTTTCCCGTGTGTTCTTTCTCAGTTATTCTGTGAGAGTTTCTACCTGTCATAGTTCATAATTTATGGCTATTAGTGAAATATTGGACCTCCTGTGTCAATTACCTCTTTCCTTTGAATATTTTTGAGTTGATTAGTTTACCTATCTGTTTCACACTTCTCTGTGCATGGCCTTGAATAGACGGTATCTTTGCATAAAGATACTAATTTCGTCTTCTTGTAATAAGGGGTCACATCTCACATCTTATATTTTTTCAGGAGTTCCCATTCCTAGGATGAATCTTGAGCCCAATAGCTTATCCATAAACACTTCCTCATTTATTGTTAAAAATGAAATATACTTATCTCCCTGGAAACAAGAGACTTTCCTCCTCTTCTTATTCTTCTTTCTTTTCTTTCATTTTTTATATAAATTGGAGGCTAGTTACTAAGTAAAAAGATAATTAAGGTAAGCCATGACTAGCCACCCATCTCCTTAGGAGGTTTTAATTAAAACACCATAATTGAACATTGCAAGAATGAGATTATTAGGTTTATTTAGCCATTTCCAAAATTATCATGCCTCTGGTATTTAAATCACATTCATTTATATTCTCATCATAATTGTTCAAGCTCCATTGTCGTTGCAGTCTGTTGTTGGCTTTTGAAAGGCCAGAGGCCAGAAGGAAGGCTTAATTTGAATACTAGAATTAATTTATTTCTGTATACAAGGCCATCAGATTTATTTTTTACTCTGAGTGATTTTTTTTTTCAGCCAGAAAGAAAGAAAGAAAGGGAAGAGCATCTACCCCTTGCTAGTGTGGTTTACACAGTCCCCTTCTCGGCCCCTGAACCTGCAATTCCTGCCTCTGAGGCTCTGGTGATTTTCTATTTCATGCCAGAGGCTTTCTGGGTATCGTTCTGGCAGAGGAACGGCAGACAGAAAGAACGCCAGGCCAAACATCACAAGCTTGTTGCCCCATAGCTGTATGTTCTTGGGCAGTTTGCTTAACCTTCTCTTTCTACAATTTTTTCATCAGTGAAATGAGAGTAGCAGTCGTAAGATCCTAAGTCATGGCTGTTAGGAGGACCGAGTGACTTAAAACGTACAAGACGTTTAGTGTAGTCTCTGGCACGTAGTAAACATGTAGTAGGTACACTAGCTGCTTCTGCGAGTATGATGGTTATGCTTCATTTGGCCACCACAGTATCCTTGGCACTTGCTGTCCTATCTTGGGGCTTCTGTTCCCTTGCCATCTCCATGGGCCTATCTCGGTCTGAATTTAAGGATCTTTGCCCCTTCCTCTGGGCAGATAAGTCAGGGCCTTTGCTTTCAGTGTAACCGTCATCCCCGTTTTCCTCATTAGAAAGAGAATTAAAGATGAGATTATTCCTGGGCAGGAACCAGCTCCTTGTCATGGGCCTGTCTCTGTCTTCTCCAAGAACTAGAGAGAGAGCTCTATAGTCCGAAGAGCTAACTAGTGTACCACCCACGCTGGCAGCTGCAGGGACTGTCCCAAGAAGAGGTTTGGCTGGGAATACATTCCTGCCCTCTCACTCGGCAAGTATCCTCATTCTGGGAGGCCCTAGTAATTAATGCCAAGCCGGAAGGACATCTCCGTATCCCAGCACTCTGTCCCGCCAAGAGGTCAGGCATGATCCTGGGGGTCTTGGGAGCTATCCGAGCACTGCACGTACTAGTTTCCACCTGCTTGCTACGGAAGTAGCTTTGGCTTTGAATCAATAGTCCAGAATTTAAGTGATGATAAAAACAGCCCCTAAAGGGAAGACACATCCCCAACTGCCCCATCTGGTTGAGAACATCCTTCCACCTCAGTGGAGTGGTATTCTAGTCCCCCTGAAAGACTTTCAAGAACAGATAGCTTGTGGACTTACTTAAAAACAAACAAGTGAAGAGCAGGTCCACATGTGCTTCTTAGTTGATAAGAGAACATTGTAGAAAGCAGATCACAGTGGGTTTACAAGCTGGTCCATTCATTGCTCTGATTATAGCCACTGTGTTTGCCGATAGACAGGCTCACTTGTGGACAGTGTGGATTCATTGAACATGTGCACCAGAAGAGCCCACACGCGCTTGCAGGCAGATGCCTAGCTAGATATTCCTTTTATCAAAGACAGGTAGAGAGATTTCTTCTATCCTAATATAGAAATGAGGTTCTCATTCCTCTCTGCTTCCCAGCTTATTGGGCTATCGTGTGTTTGGTAGGGGGATAGGTATGCCCTCCTGCCCCTGACTCCCCCAACACATGCACAAGAAAGGCCAGGAGGGAGGGATTTGGTGACACTGCACAGCACAGCCCCTAGGGCAGCTTGACCTGTGCAGGTGAGAGAGGCCCATGGGGAGACCCAGGTGACTCACAAATGCATTTTGCCAGCCCCAAGAGCTGCAGTGAATTTAGGCGAGCATCAGGCAGAACAGTTCCATCTTCTCTGACCACTTCACCTCCCCACTTCACGGTCTACACTTTATACCAGAGCTAGGGCGCTCAGAACTCAGGGAGCCCTTCCTGAGGGCCCTTGCAGAAGGACCGTACACCTCGGTACCTTGGTGACTTTCAGCTCAACCTCCGCTTCAGGGCTAGTTGCCCTCACATGTCCACCCTCTTCTTCATCCGTGGTATGTTTATCAAGTTCATATTCTGGGTCAAGCCCTGTTTTAGGCATGGAAAATACAACAGTGATTAAGACTCAGAAAAGTCACTACCCTTACAGAATTTGCATTCTGGTCTCAGTGTATCAAAGACAGCGAGTGAGGGGAAGGGCTTCACCGTCACTGCAGGCACTCGGGCCCGTGTGAAATGGGCGTGTTCCGCTGGCAGGAATCAGGGAAGACACTTGCAGAGAAAGTGAACCTGTCTTTCAACCTCATCTGGAATCTGAAGTGTTGTGTTTAACGGAGGCAATAACATCCTCGCCATCCTCCCGTGCATGAATGCCTGCCTGGGGAGCCGCCAGCTCAGGGTGCTGACAGAGGCTGTAATTACCGTTGCTTCTCTCTGTGTAATTAAAGGTGTTGTTAGTGACCTGGTTAAGGAATCTTTTTCAAAGGCTTTTATGCTGGACAGCATCCCTTGAAATGGAACGCATACAGCCAACAGAATCAGAGCCGCCCTGGGAAAGACCCAGCCAGTTCCCAGGGGGACCCAACACCGCAACCTGGGCCTGGTTTAGAATAGAATTCGGTTCAGCAGCAATCAGAAGGGGCAGCGTTGAGGAAGGAAAAAAAAAAGAAGAAAAAAAAAACTCCACATGGGAAATTCTTGTTGCCAGTGGGAGCCTTCGAATATGTTTTCTTCTGCATTTTCTAATATGCCCCATCCAAGTTACTATCTTGACAGATCAGAAGAGGGACTGCCTCCATCCTCTGCCTGGGAGGATGAAAGTGGAAGGTCTCAGACTGCAGGCCCTGACATTTCCCAAACAGGATGGCACTGGATGTGGCAGCGCCCCCTGGCCTGGCCTGACCAGGTATACACATGCTTCCCTTGACATGAAGGGCACACAGGCATAGCCATGTCCTTAGGGAATAGCACCTGTGCTTCAAAAGCCCCAGAACCCAGGCCCACTGCTCCCGGCCTCCTTTGGACGTGAGCAGTGGATGGGAGCCCTCACACTGTCGCTGTTCTGTGCACCCCGCGAAGAGAGATGGAGTGGAGAAGGAAATGCTCCTGTTAAGTGTCTCCTCCCTCTACTCCCATTCTCCGAAGGAACAGGGGCAGTTGATCTGTGGTCCCAGTGAGGACTTCAGAAATCATATCCTTCAAAGCTCCTTATTCAGTGAGATGGTAAGAGAGAAGCTCAGAGACAGGTACCACACCTGCCCAAGGTCTTGCAGACGTCAAGTGGCAAAACAAGACCCAACACTGGTAACAACAACTAATATCACTAAGCTCTTTCTTACTCTGTGCCAGGCATTCTTCTAAATCCTTTTCATGCATCAGCTTCCCTTGTTTTCAGCCTCACAACCATCCTTACTGTGGAATGATGTTATGGTTGACACATTGTGTAAACTTGGGGAGTCTAGAGGTTTGGCCAGCCGGAAGCCAGGGTGCTTACTTTGTATACATCCTGAGCCTGTGGAAGAGGAGGACATGGAAATTATATGAGAGCTACAGGCCCGTTAGGTGGGGGTAGCCTGTTTACATGGTAAGGGAGGGAAAGAAGCTGCTTGCCGCCATTCTTCCCTTTTGCTCTGGCTGTTTGCTGTTCAGCTGCCATTCCCCCTTTTGCTCTTGTTGCTTTGCTACCTTCTGCCTCGGAGCCAGCCAAGTATGGACTGAAACCTCCATAAACTGTAAGCTAAATAAACTTTTCCTTCCTTAATTTGAGCATTAGGTATTTTGTCTCAGCAACGAGAGAATAGTAACCAAGACAAATGACTACTGTGATTTTCCCCATTTTATGGATGGGGAAAACTGAAGCACAGGGAAGTAAGAATGAAGTGATAGGACCAAGATCCAAATCGAAGCAGAGAGACTCCAAAGGCCGCACTCTCTACTACAGCACCCTCTCGTTCCTTATCTTCTATCTTTCTTTGCTGCTGCTTTCTCAGAAATGCGAAGTCTTTTCCAATTTGGAACAAAGCTAGTATCGCTACTCTCGTTAGGAAAATATTCCAGTTGGGATTGTAGTGTAAGTCCTCAGCTGTCTGACATTTTCCATGGTCTCCACTGGTTCTCCTAGTGGGGCCCTGGGGACTTTTAAGTCTTTGGTGCCAGATAAGAATATGTTCTCAAACTGCCCAGCTAGGAGTATATTTTGAAATTTTTGTTTAGTGTTTATCTCAGCTCAAAGAACTGTAAGACTCTCTGGTCATTGAACTGGCACTTTCTGGGGAGATCCAAATTAGGCTATGGGCATTAACTTGAGCACCGACAGCGAGGTCTCCTGTCCGGGAAAGGGCACTAGTAGAGGTGGAGGTGGCCCCATCCATGTCCACATGAGGACTGCCTGCTCCTCTGTTTGAGCCACTGCAGCTATACTCACTCTGGCTTTAATTTCTTCATGAACAGAAGCCAAACCTTAAATCATTTTCCCTGCAGACATGTTCCGTCTTTCATATTTAATCTGCATCCAAGAGCCACCAGCCAGGGATTCCCTGTGCAAGTAGCAAGGGGATCTGCAGAGTTGGTCTGAGCTTGACCTCAGCTCAGGGCCCTTCTCTCAGAGGGAGATCTGGAAAGACCCTGAAGTGACCAGTGCTGGCCAGACCCAAAAAGCTTGGGATGGGGCCCCGGGGAGGCCCACTGGGTAGGGTTTCCCTTTTATACCATAACATCCAATTAAAAAAAAAAAAACATGTGTTTGAGATTCTTACCTCACTTTGAGGTAGTGATCAAAGCATGGAAATGTTTACAATGTCTTTAAAGCATTTAAGTGTATTTCTTGTATTTGAGATTGGATGTGACCGCCAGATAAAGTCATTAAGATTCTTAGTGACTCTGAATCCAGAGTTAGATGAGTGATGGATACGTTTGTGTTCAGCTTTCTGAATAAACTCCTAGGGTGCCATTTGCACGGGTTTTTATCACTTTGCTTTAAATTCACACTGGTTATTACCTCAGTGGAGTAACTCAGCTACCTTTTTGCTAGTGAGAAAAGTTTTATTTGTATGTTTCCTGAGTATAAAAGCTATTTGGAAATGGCTTAGGTATCACTGCTGATGAATGTAGGGACATTTTGACATCAGTGCCCTACACAGGGAAAATCTGCCACATTTCTCGCTCTGTCTTGATATCTCCAGTGGCTTCTAACCAATAAAAAGAAAAGGTTGGATCTCTACTCAGCATCCAGTCATCAGGTAAAAGCCAAAACTCAGGGCACCATTCAGATGTTGAACACCCTGCAGAAAACATGTCTCAGTAGCCCTTGGATTCCAGTGGCATATTTCTAGAGGGACTATGACGAATCCTCTTTCTATACAAGCCTAGGATGGTGGGATAACACAGCAGTTAGAACAAATGAAGAAGAGTGAGGTCAAGGTGTCAGAATCTCTCCTGTGACTTCTAAGAGAGGAGAGATGGCAGCTGGTGATAATTTGCCAACTACCTTATCAGGCAGGTCTGCATCCTTGGGAAGCTAGCCGGTGCCGGGTTGCTCCCGACATAGATGTGAGTCATAGGTGTTGTGTTCTGGCCCCACAGGTCCCCATTCAGAGGCTCCATCCTGCAACGCCAACTCGCTCTCATGCCCCTCCACCTGCACTTGCAGTAATAATATCGTGGACTGTCGAGGAAAAGGCTTGACCGAAATCCCTGCCAACTTGCCAGAGAGCATCATTGAAATGTAAGTACCGTGGTTTTCCACCCCTCTGAACCAGGTGAGTTCTCTCTGTCCCCACCAATCTTCTACTAGACTATCAGCATATTGAGATTTTAAAGCTGACCGTGAGAACCACTCAGGCATCTGTTCGCTGTCCCAGGTAAGGTAGCTCAGAAGTCAGGAGCATAGACTCCAGGACACAGTGAGCACAGTACAGCCCCTAGACCAAATACACCCACCATCTATTTTTGTAAATAAAGTTTTATTTTTTAATGTTTTTATTAGGACATATTTGTCATACATATTGGTCACATCCATTATAGGTAGTTTGTACCTGTATATAATATACCTTGACTCTTTTTTCCCTATGCCCCTCCCCCTTCAACCCTTCTTCCCCTCCCCATTTATAAATGCTTTGTTTCCATTTGTTTCCTCCCATTCTCTCTTTTTTTCTCTTTCTCCTTCCTTCCCTTTCTTCCCCCTTCCCCCTCCCTTGTTCCCTTTCCCATTTGAACATGTTCTCCCTACTTCCCAATATCTATCGGCCATTATGCTTTTTGTTTACCCGGTGGGTTTCTCACAAAGGCAAAACAATGCAATTGTGAATAAAGTTTTATTAGAACACACCCACCCACATGTGTTTGTACACTACATATGCCCACTCTTTTGCAGCAGTGTTGAGTATTTGCAACAAAAGACCATGTGACCCACAAAGCCTAAAATATATTTTGCCTGGTCCTTTCCAATGAGCCAGCCAATCCCTTCCCTAGAGTTATGCTGTCTTTATATCCTGACTTTCCTCTGTATTCTTTGTAGGATCATAGGTAAAATAATCGCTCTCTTTCAGCTTCAGTTGTCTTACCTACAATAATGTCATAATGATAGAATTATACTTCAGTGAAAACCAAATGAGATCCTGGATATAAAGCACTTAAAACAATCCTTGGTACAGGGACAAGTGCTTTACAAAACAGTGCTTGTGGTGGAAGAGGAAAAGTATAAAAGCTGAACTGATCTAGTACTGCCACTGTCTGAGAAGGGCACTGAGCTGTCAGTCATTTCAAATCACTTCAGACTTTTGTCCTACATGTTACATCTTCCGGTAGAGACAAGATGGCGCACAGTCATGTGTACGTACCAGAGGTGAAAGCTTCAGTCAAATGTGTTTGTCCATGTAGCACATCCTGGCCCGCCCTCTGTTCATTAGAAAATGGCCAGGGTCTTGTTCTTGAATGAGTACTGTATCAGTTAACACCGACCTCAAAATCGTGCTTTAAATGACCATAGTTGTTCTCATTTTCTGTCTTCACCTTTGTGACCTTTCTACTGAAAACATCATTCGATAAAGTCCCCCAATAAAAGGTGAATTTCCCTGGCCTCTCTGCTTGTGCATCATCTCTTCCTCTTCTCCTCTCCTCCGCCTCTTCTTCCTTCCTTCCCCATATGTATCCACTGTTGGATACATCTGATATCCTCTATCCTTCCGCATATGTATCCTCCATCCCCAGTTCATTCCAACAGGTGGCCCATTGGCCCTTTCATTCATTTGTGTATTCGTTCAGCAAATCTCTATCGTGAGTCCACTGTGTTGCAGCCATTGTTTTACACTGGGAGACACAACAATGAACAAAATAGATAATATTTTTGTATTTGGGGCTGGGATGGATAAATAGTCAACAAAGTAAATGATATAATCTGCTGGAAGGTGGTAGATTCTATGGAGAAAAATGAAACAAGGATAGGACGTGAAGCAAGCGAGGAAAAAAAAGTGGCTATCTGGAGGAAGAGTGTAATAGGTGGGGGGGATGGCATGTGCAAAGGCCCTGAGGTGGGTGTGTGCCTGGTGTACCAAAGGTCAGCATGAGTAGAATGGAGCAAGTCGAGGGAAAGGCAGCAGAGGGTGCGGTCAGAAAGGCAATGGGCAGCCGGCCATGAGGCATTTTAAGGACTAGTTTCACCCCTATTTAGAGTGGAAGAAACATATGGCCTACAACAGTGGAGTTCTACTTTCTTCTTTCTTCTACTTTGCCATCTTTTCTCTGATTCCCTTTAACGCTGTCCTCCCAGGCCCAGAGGGGGCAGCCCATGCTTCCAGCACCCTCCTTGCAGGCAGCAGCTGCGCACCGAGGCCTTTTTGCCTGCCATCCACGTCTCTGTGGCCTTCGCCCACCTCCTCGCAGCCCTCAGCCTTCCTTCCCCCCAGCACAACAGTGAGCCCTCCACTTCCCGTGACCACGCCCCTGCCAGTGCCGCCCTGCGGAGACCCCGTCACCACTCCGCTCACCCTGCGCTGCCTTTTCTCCTCTGAGCCGTTCTCGCTGCTCCGCTGGCCGCACCATCTGCGTTTCCTCGTGCTGCCCTCCTTCCTGTCCCTTCCCTTTTCTCTTCCGCTCCCCAACCATGACCTTTCCAGTCCGCTTCCCACCCGTCTCCCCAGCTCACCCCATGCTCCCCTCCCTGCAAGCCCCGCTCTCCGCCCTCCACCTTCCGCAAGGTGGCACTCCGGCCTCCCGAGGTAGACATTCAGAGCAGGACTCCTGCCAGTCCCCATCTCATGGCAGGGTCCCAAAGACTGTTCCTCTTTTTCACTGCCTTCCCTCGTTCCTGTCTCCTTGCATCTGCCAGCTTTTATCTTTCGGCTTTGGCAACCATAGACCTTCCCTTGGCCAGGTTTCAAAACCACAGCCTGATGGAAGAGGCCAATCTAAGTCATCAGGCTATGCTCAGTGGGAGCCCGGTGCCTGCCCATGCTTTGCCCTGCTTCGTACCTCTGTGCCCATCGCTGAGGCCTCACAGGTACCTAGGTCAGGTCTCCCGGCAAGAGAAATTACAAATATTCACACTTGAAATGCGCCTTATGCAGGTCTGACCATACCTGGATGGTGGGGCTCACATCTGGATGTTAAATTTTAAAAGAGACATTGACAAGCTGGAGTAGTAATTGCCAAAAGGCTGTCTGATTATCATTGAGTTTTTCCCAGTATGTGATAAAGTGAAAAAGTTTAGAACAAGGTGATATTTTTCTATGTTTCCTTTGAAAGAATATCCTTTATTTGAAGTTCTTGGACTTTATTACTTAGCTATTGTTTGATTAAAAATGCTTTTATTTTGTTTTGTTTTATGAGACAGGGTCTCACTACGTAGTTCAGGCTGGCCTTGAACTCAGTATGTAGTGCAGGCTGGTGTCAAACTCATGGCGATCCTCTTGCCTCAGCCTCCCAAGCACTGAAACTATCAGCATGTGCCACTGTGCCAGGCACTGTCCTTTATCTTTACAAAATTACAACCACAGAAGACAGAATACATATGTGTTCTATATACCTATAATTACATGTAATTACATAATCATAAATTTGTGTGTACACATACACAGACTTAATTGGAAAAGGAAAAGAAACTACCTGGCCTGTGAAATCTCAAGGTCTGGGAATGACTAACCCAACCAGATTGTTTTCACACATAGAACAGCAACCAATTCATTGAGAGGACAGACCGTGGACCTAGGCAGACCCACATCCCAGCCTTGGCTTGCCTATAGCCATTTTGCAGATGACTTCTTTTCCTTCAGCACTGAAGTTGGAACCCAGAGGCACTCCACCACTGAGCTGTATCCTCCCAGCCCTTTTTATTTTTTATTTTGAGACAGGGTCTTGCTAAATTGCCCAGGCCTCAAAATTGCAGTCCTCTTGCCTCAGCCTCCCAGGTAGCTGGGATTACAGCTATGTGCAAATAACTTTACTGCATCTTGGTTTCCTCATCTGAAAGGTTTAGAGATAGAGGTGTGTCCTTAATGGTTCCCAGGAAGGCTAAATGAATGCAGGGTAGATGATGCTTAGCATAGGACACCCTCAATTAGCAATGGACGTGGTTCTCCTACAGCTACAACTGTAACACTTAGGACCCCTTTAGTTAGGGACGGTGACAAGGATTGGAAATCACACCCTAAAAGCAGGAGCTACCAATACAAGAGATTTCTCTATAAAGAAAGGTCAGTTCTGTCAGGTATGGTGGCATGTGCCTTTAATCCCAGCCTCTGGGAGGTTGAGGCAGGATCAAAAGTTCAAGCCCAGCCTGGGTAACTTAGTGAGACCCTGTCATAAAATGAAAAAAAGGCTTTGAAGATAGCACAGTGTGACGGCCCTGGGTTCAAGTCCCAGTGTGGAAGAATGGAAGAGAGGGAAGGAGGGAGGGAGAAAGAGGGGGAGCGGGGCAGAAGGGCAAGGAGGGAGGGGCAGGAGTGGGGGAGGGAGAGAACTAGCTGCTTCTTCACAAGGTGGTGGCTAAGAGAATAAGTTCCAGACAGAAGCTAGCCATATGCATTCTTACCTGAACCTGGGAGGAGCTCATCTTAATGCAAATGTATGCAGATATAGTAATAAGGCTGCCCTCGCTTACTGGGTACCCACCATCTATCAGATGGATTGCACGGGACTCTTCTTGCTGTGTTTGTTTCTCTCTTCCTTTATAATGAAATGAAGCTGAGACCCTGAAGCAGATGAGGCAGTGTCTATGGTTGCGGAGGGTAGTTCAAGGGGTAACGTGTAAAAGAGAACTTGGGAGGAGGGAAGAGACTTGCTTCTTCTTACAGCAATACAGCAGCAGGTTAGCCTAAAAGTCTCTAAAGCAGCTAAAGCGAATCTTCTTAGCAGTGAGAGGAGACCAGCAGACCAGTGCAAAGGTAGGAAAACAAAAAGGAACAGAGTTGAAACAGCAGGACACACTCAGGAGAAAGAGGAATAACTGGCTTATGATGCCGAAGACATCTAAGCATAACTTTTTGTTTTTGATGTTGAGAATTCCACCTCTGACCCACGGCCACCTATGGAATCCAGGCTTGTACTTCTCCCTTAAGAACACTTGGTATCATCTCAGGCTCTGCTTTCCCTCGCCTCAATCTTGAGCTGCTAATGATTCTTTTAAATGGCCTTAACCTTGGGAGAGGTTCTGTACTCTCCAGCATTTGGAAGGGGAGCCTATCTCTCATGCAAAGCAATCTGGCAGACTCTCTTATGTTTTTTTCCAAA